TCTCTCTCTCTCTCTCTCTCTCTCTCTCTCTCTGTCTTTCTCTTTCTCTGTTTCTCTGTTTCTCGCATTTTCTCTCTCCCTCTCCCTCCTCCCTTCTCTCCCTCTCTCTCACCCACTCACACTCCTTTCTCTCTATCCAGCGCCATCAGTAACATTGACCAGCGGTGAACCAGACGAGAAGGACCTTTCTCACGCCCTGGGTCTGGGTACAGGACTAGGCGCCACCTCCGTGGTCCTCATTTTTGCCCTCGTCATAGCCGCTGTCTGCACGCTGAGGAGTAGGAGGAGGAAGAAGGTAGGAGGGGGAGGAAGGAGGAGGGGGAAGGGAGGAAGGGAGGAGAGGGAGAAAGTGAGGAGGGGGGATAGGAGGAAGGCGAGAAGGTAGGGGAGGGGGAGAAAGGGAGTAAGAAGGAGCAAGGGAGGAGGGGGAGGAAAGGAGGAGGGAAGGAGGGGAGGAAGGGAGGAGGGGGAGAAGGGATGATGTGGAGGAAGGGAGGAGGGGAAAGGAGGAAGGGAGGAGGGGAGGAGGGGAGAAGGGGAGGAAGGGAGGAGGAGGGAGAAGGGAGGATGGGGAGGAAGGGAGGAGGGGAAAGTAGAAAGGGAGGAGTAGGAGGAAGGGAGAAAGGAGGAAATGGGAGGGGAAGAAGGTAGGAGGAGAAAGGGAGGAAGGGAAGAAACGAGGAGTGGAGAGAAAGTAGGAGGATGAGGAGGTAGAAAGGAGGAGCAAAGTAGGTGGAGGAAGAGGGAAGAAAGAAGAAGCTAGGAAAGGAGAAAGTAAGAGAAGGAAAAGGGAAGGAGGAGGATGGAAGAACAAGAAAGGATGTTGGAGGAGGAAGAAGGGAGGAGGGGGGGATAGAGGGAGAAGGAGAAGGAAGAAGGTAGGAGAAGGAAGAAGGAACCTGAAAATCTGTTCGCTAAGTGCGTGATTCTATATGTTCATACAAGACTGTGACGAACAGCCTAGGAGATGTGTTAGTTTGTATGTTTGTTTGTTTGTTGTTTTAGTTCGCTTGCTTCTACTAATCCTTTGCTCTATGTTGTAACTGTGGTAATTATGCAGCCAAATTACAATAGTGGGGGTGATGGCGATGAGGTAATTTTGTTATTCTTGGTGGTGGTTGTGGTGACCGGTCCGATAGTGATTTTAACACATGGTTTGATGTCGGTGCTGATGGTATTGTTCATGTTGTTGCTTATGATGATGTCGCTGTTATTGCACACACACACTTTCTCTTACACACACACACACACACACGCACAGACACACACACATACACACACATACACACACATACACACACACACACACAAACCCTCCCTCACACACACACACACACACACACACACTCACACACACTTACACACACATACACTCTCTCACACGCTCACACACCCTCTCTTTCTCTTTCTCTCTCTCACACACACACACACATACACACATACAAACACCCTCACACACACACACTCACACACACACACACACACACACACACACACACACACACACACACACACACACACACACACCTAGACACTATGACACGTTCTGGTAATCATTCCCGTGAGTCCATACCCTCGTAAGCTGTCATATTGACTTGCATTTACTTGTTTTTCTATCCTTGGCTTTAATTTCAGCTCTCTTTTCAAATCGGTTCTTCTTAATTAGTTTTTCTGCCTTTGAAGACCACCATAGAATGTAGCTTTTGCACTGGCGTTAGTGCGCTAATGAATGTGTTGAATGGACTTTCCTTGAGCAGGAGGAATCAAAGACTTTGACTTGTTTAAAGAGGGAAAATAATTTCTATCGTGCAGACTCTGAAAGAGTTACTGGCGTTTTTCCAGGCTGCCCCCCCCCTCTCTCTCTCTCTCTCTCTCTCTCT